CACCTTATGAATATTCTCGATTTTATAGAATAACTAACATTCAAATTTTTTGAAATTGTTTTAATAACGAATCACTACAGTTTGATTGTAAATAACTATGTACATGTGTATAGTAAAATTATTTTCCATAAACTTATCGTTTGAAACCTAATTTCGTATTTTCGCTACTTTAACGCAAAGAATGCTGTGTTCGTAAATAATTCCATAAGTCGCGCGCTGTCCGTATGCTGACCATGAATTGACAGAGCTTTGTCTCAATTAAACAGAGAATGATAAATTTTGCCCGTTTGTCTTTAAGTAGAGACTAGACAAGACAAAAATAATTATTTGAGGTAAAATTTAGTTTCATTTACTTACCTCTTCATTGTTTTCGGGTCCATTTTCAACAACCGTCCACAAATTCTCAGATTCTAGATAGGCTCGTACTGTCATAGACCAAGCTTTATAGTTGTCGAGCCCTTTGAGTTTCTCAATTTGCAGCTGCAGAGTCATTTTATTATTATTTTACTCACTTTGTTGATAATAATATGTACATATGTAAATATTATCAGAAAACTGTAACGTTCACTAAGTCGTTCGAAACAAAACTGAACATGAACAGCAAAAGAAAATTGAAAAGGTATTGAGCATATGTACATATCTATGTAAATGTACATACATAAGTATATGCTCATATGTAGTCTTGCCCTTTTCATCATTCGACTGCAAAGCAATATGGCTAAAAATCGTTATTTTTGCTACAACTTGGTCAAGTGGGCAAGATTTTGAAAAGAAGATAAAAATATGACACAATGGCAATGGCTGTAGGGCGAGAAATATGAACGAAACTTGACAATGAAATTGGCTAGTAGTGCATACATATGGATGCACATATTTATATACATATGTACATATATACACAAAGGGTGAGCCATCGCACAGTATCAGATTTGATCTTCTAAGCTGCATTTAAAGGCCTGCGCAGAGAGGTGCGGTACGGTACAGGGCGGTATAATCCCGTACAATATGCGGTATGAAATACCATGGGCTTTGTTGCCATTTTAGGCCGTTTTCCGGCTACCATATAAGCTCTGATCCAATACTTCTCGTGCAAAATCCTGCAAAATTACTCTCTGAAGTGAGAGTAAAAAGTGAGTAACAACAAAAAAAGTACGGGAACAAAAAAAGCATTTTTCCTGTAAAAACGTCAACCAGTGATCAATTGACACTTTTCATGATTTCACCAGAAGAAAAAGTTCGGGTAAAATCTTGCACCTTCATTCTCTACACAACTCTCCAAAAATCGCTCTCATTTACAGGATTTTGGAGGAATTTGGAGTACGGGATCATTTTTCCTGTAACTTCCTGTAAGTTCGTGTAAAAACCTGTAAGTTCATGGAGTACTGGATCAGAGCTATAATAAATAATAAGTAAGCGGGTTTGGAACGTACTTTTTTATTTAAAGTGAAAATTATTTCATAAGTAACAAAACGAAAGACAGTAATTAAATTTATATGCTTTTAATAATACTTTAGTGTGTACATATCTGATAAAAGTAATTTAAGGTATGTAGAAAAACACGATGCAAAAAAAAAAATAATAAAAAAAATCTCGCTTACGTTAGTTTGGCGGTTAGGGCTCGATACGGTTAATTCCAAAATTTATTTAAAAAAATTCAGTGCAATGTAAAACAAAAGTATGGGTACCAAATGAAATATGTTTTTTTGGTTCACAAGAACGAATAGGAATTGAAAATGCACCTCTAATCTATTTTATTTTATTTTCAAGCTAATAAAGTTAGTCCTGAACATATAATTATTTCAAAAATAAGAATTGAAAAATTTCAAGGATATTCAAGGATAAAATTATGAAAGAGTATTTTCAATACCTACCCGTCCCCTACGGACCGAAAAATGTAATGTGTTTTAACTGTACACAATCTTTTCTTTCATTTGATACCCATACTGGTTTCTTAAGTATATTTCACTGAAATTTGTAAGTAATTTCTTGAATTACTCATATCTTTCAAATTTCAAAGTTTTTTTTAAAAATTAAAAGAGAGAGAAAAATTAAGAACGCAGTTTTACTATATTTGGCCCTTGGTTTAGCGAATATATTGATTTCTTTTGTGTGCAAAATTGCCTGTCGCAAGGTATTATATGTATATTGAGCTACACATTTATAAAAAAAATGTTAAATATTAAATAAAAAAAGAAATATAGCTAAAACTGGTCAACATAAAGCGTTTCTATTATTGCAACCAGAGTGCAAATTACAAATCCCGAAATCCCGGGATTCTAGAGAAACAATCCCGGGATTTTTGGGACTTAAAAAATACCGGGATCCCGGGCTTAACATTCCTAGTGCATACTACATGTAAATAAATGGCCTTAATAATCAATAATAATAATAATAATAATGACATAATAATCTTCCGTAAATCTTCCGCATAATCTTTCTCTCGAAAACTCCAAGAGCCACCTCATCAGATGTCCATGCCTCCGCGCCATATACCAGCATAGGCATGATGAGTGACTTATAGAGTGTGATCTTTTTACGACGAGAGAGGACTTTACTTCTCAATTGCCTACTCAGCCCAAAGTAGCACTTGTTGGCAAGAGTGATTCTCCGTTGGATTTCAAGGCTGACTTTATTATTGGTGTTAATGCTGGTTCTCAAATAAACGAAGTCGTCTACTTTTACAAACTTGTAACTGTTAACAGTGACGTGGGTGCCAAGACGCGTATGCTTTGACTGTTTGTGTGATGACAGGAGATACTTCGTTTTGTCCTCGTTCACCAACAGACCCATTCGCTTTGCTTCTCTATCCAATACCGAGAAGGCATAACAGACGTAGCCCTTGTTCTTACCGATAATATCNTCGTTTGGTATCAAACGGCTCGGAGAGGTCCTTCCCTATTCTGACGGAGCTGGTGGTATTGCTCAACGTCATTTTACACAGCCGTATTAGTTTCGCGGGGATACCAAATTCAGACATCGCGGCATAAAGGAAACTTCTCTTCGTGCTGTCGAAAGCGGCTTTGAAACCGACAAATAGATGGTGTGTGTCGATCCTATTCTCGCGGAATATTCAGAATATTGTTACTTGTGATAAAAAAAGAGACACGTATTTTTTTATTTTGAAAAAAAGTTTTTTAGAGGTCGGTTTTTTATAAAAACGCTGATGTTTTCAATTTTTTTATTTGCTTTAGATGTTAAAATGCAGCTAAAAATGTGGTTTTTACATATAATTACTCTGGTATTATTGGGGAACTTTCCCTTAATTACACACCTCTCTTGGACAATTAGAATGGGTCTAGTTCCCGAAAATATGCTCTCGGAAAGACACTAGTAAAATTAAAACGTTGATACTGAACGATTTACGCATTGTCATGGGTTGGAACTTGTTACCAGGAGGTTCCTGGAGTTGCTAATTAGGAATATGAAGTCAGTTTTTAAAATTCAAAATGGCGGATCCAAAATGGCGATCCATTTTTTTTCTTAAATAATTGGATTTGGAAACCCGGCACTCGAGAATTTTTGGGGTCGCCGATTACGAATCTGAAGTCAACCTATTTAAATTCGAAATGGTTGACCCAATATGGCGACCAAATTAAAAAAAAAAATACTAAAATATCTTTAAATTGTGCGCCAGAAGTATATTAACACTTTTTTTAAATTTATTACTTTATTAAGCGTAAACAGTTTTATAAAACACAAAATTTAAGCAGATCACAAAAAACACAGCTTCACAGCTTTGACGTTTACGTATTCATAAGAGGGATGAATTTGACGTTGGCAGTTCGAAGAAAAGGCTCCGTTATGCATACTTGGCATTGCTTGAGCGTTGTCACATAAGTAATCTGTTAAATGAGCTTCGCGTGTAAAGGCTCTGTTATGCATACTTGGCATGGCTTGAGAGTTATCACATAAGAAATCTGTTAAATGAGCTCCGCGTGTAAGCGGTTATNACACAGCTTCACAGCTTTGACGTTTACGTATTCATAAGAGGGATGAATTTGACGTTGGCAGTTCGAAGTAAGTCGAATCCCTGTATCGAATAGTCATTTCGTTATGGCTGTTCAGGATGTTGTGGAAATGGTCTTGGATTTGCAGTTGCATTTGTAAATTTTATGCTTGATGCCATGGCAACCGTGTGTATTTTATTGTTGTGAAATTACAAATGCAACGAATATGCAAATAAAAGAGCATATGCACAACATGGTATTAGTGTTGTCGTTGACATTTCTTTCATCCTTTGCTTAAAGTTTTTCTACGAAAAAACAAAATCAAAATTTTTGTGTTCAATTTGCTTATCATTAGCAACCTTTTTCTTTTATTCATATTTCAATTTTGCCAGCTAATTGACAATAAATCCCAACTAGCGTATTAGAAATGATAAAATATGGCTTCCACTTCGATAAATATATCTAAAATACTAGAAAAGACACGAATTGGAATGAGTGGATCGTGAGTTTTCAGCGNCTACTACCATTTTCGCAACAAGGGATTGCGTTCTTGCCCTTTCTCTGTCTTTCGCAAATGCAACCTTTTGTAAGGGAGTGTCAAACCGCAGCTGTCAATAATTATCTAACCTTGTATTATTGAATCATGCTAATTAGTAGGTGAGAATGATGTATTTTCTCTACCAGTAGAGAAATAATCGGTAGAGAAAAGTTACAGAAACGGGCTACTGGTTTTCGTTTGACAGATTTTGCATGGACGAAAACACAAGTTTTAGGTCGAAAACCAGTTTTACTCGCGTACTTATGGAGTTTATCCCACAGGAACATGTGTATACAACTCTGCTGTCAAACACGCACATACGCTTTCCTATGGTGTGCCAGGTTTTGCAGGATGTATGCCTGGATTATAATGGAAGTAGCGGAACGGTGTCAACTGTCACTTAATTATCTATTGTATAGGCAATGAATTCAATCGATTATAATGCACTTGAACGCAATGTAAAACGGAAGCATCTAAAAGGTATAAATTCGCCTTGAATAGATCCTTACGAATTCGCCGCGATTTGTTACGATAACCAAGGTATTAGTCCAAAGTCGTTCCCGTACGCCACGGTCACATAAGGTTTATTAGGGCCGGTTGTTCAATGTCTGGTTAGCACAAATCGGAGGTAGAAGCTCTGGTTAAATACAACGACTGCTTTATCGATCACATTTTCTATGCATGATGTCGAAATCGTCGATACTGATGTTTAACCGGCAAGTAGTGTTAACCAGACATTGAACAACCGGCCCTTATAGGTAGGAATGTTCGATATTTAAGAAAGTATCGATCTCGATACCGATGAATCGATTTAATTCATTGCTTGTAAAATCGATATGGCGATATATCGGGCTGAACAATATCGACATCGGAAAAATCGAACAGACTATTTATTTTCTGGCAAAAGTATCGATATTTTGATATATCGATATTTTTCGCCCAATTCTATTTACTAGAATTGTTTCATATTTACTAATAAGTCAAGGCGGATGGTTCTGTGTAATGTTGTGTATATCGTGTCAAACGCCGACTAAAAAGTACAAATGTTCAAAATGTTTAGTTCGATAGTAAGACAAATAAACCGAAAACATCAATTGAAACAGTTAAATGCTTATTCTCTTCTTAGTTGCTCACTTCCTTGCTACAAAAAACATCAGGACACGTGTGTTTCCAAGCAATCCTTAAACATTGAGACATGTGAAGTCTATAGCATCAATGAGCCTACTCTGCACGAGCCCTTCGGCACCGAGGATACAGTGCCCCGGAGTAAACTGGAGCTTCTGAGTAATAACCTGATCCATATTACATATATATTAATATTGATGCCCTATTATGAACTCGTACGACGCACGATAAACGCTTTCATTCTGTTATCCCTTATTACGAACTGATAATAGTAGCAAACTCGATAGTTAGCGTAACTATTGTTGTTGTAACAGCGTAGAGATTCCCAAAGGGCCCTGTCACACGGCCAGTATTTATTGGCGTGATCCAAGTATAGCGATATTTATTGACGGTGTAGCATGCAATATTGATCGCGATCCATATCGCAAAATTTGTAAAAATTTGGAAACATGGATAGCGGATCGCAAAAACGTCAATAAATATTGAACGTGTAGCATTTTCAAAACGCGATCCATACATTTCGCCAGTAGATATTGTACTCTCATAATGCGAACCATGGACCGAACCGTAGACCCGACTGTCGTAGGAACGATTGTGTAACTGATTTGTGTTGGTTAATGATAAAAGTGAACAAAAATAACAGACATTCAAATTAATACATCATTCAAGTTAATACAATTTCATATGATACGCCTGCAAGCGTTTATCGTCTATCGTATGAAATTCATAATAGAGGGGTTAGTATGTTATTGTAATCTTGTTTTTTTCCTTACTAGAACACTGCGAAACGCTCCACAATTTACTCTACAATTCGCATCTTCGAAATTTACTCACTGAAATTGATGTAGCTCCAGACGCTTGGAAAGCTATGAAAGCAGCAATGCAAGAACCACTATTTCTAGAGTTCGCCGATGAATGTTTGGCAATTATTGAACCCAATACTGACGATTATAATTAAAATATAAATTTGATAGATAAATGTGCGTTCAGAAACNAGCAGCAATGCAAGAACCACTATTTCTAGAGTTCGCCGATGAATGTTTGGAAATTATTGAACCCAATACTGACGATTATAATTAAAATATAAATTTGATAGATAAATGTGCGTTCAGAAATGCATCTAGCCATAGCATCAGTCTCTTTTTTTTCATAACTATAATTAATAGAAATGTCTTATTCACGGAAGTTCCAATTCGGCATTTAACCGTAGTTGCGCATATTGGACATTTCCACCAATTATAGTGTAGAAATAAAAGACTAATGCTTCGGCTTCATGCATTTCTGAACGCACCCAAACTAACCCAATATAAATGTGAAACAACGCGAATTTAAGATAGTATGATTTTAGATAGTATGATTATTATAAGTCATCATAATCTCTTATAAAAGGTGGTTTTTCTTGCCAGTGAATAATGTAATCGAAAATATCCCGAGGTACCTCACATTGATCGAGTTCCACGGCTAAACTGTAATAACGCTGACGAAGAAGATATGCTGCCGACTTTGGTTGGCGATTACGAGTAAAAATCCCCTTCTTATTTCCTCCAACACGAGTAAAAGCTGTAAATCACAATAGTTATACAGAAATTAGTTACAAAATGCGATATTAGTTTAAAAACTCACTTTGAGCGGTTTTAAAATCTGCGAAATTCCACAAAAATTCACCAATAAACCACTTTTGAGATCTAAGGTTATCAAAAGCTTTAAAATGCTTGCCAAGTAGTGATCGCTGATATTCTTCCGACCAAACATATGCCGGTAACTGTGGGACAGTGAAAATTTGACACATGCATATTTAATGAGAATTCTGTGCTCAGAAATGAAACAAGTCTCTTATTTGCGCAACTAAATTCCAATTCGGTATTTAAAAGTGGTTTCGCATATTATAGTGTAGAAATAAAAGATACATGCGTTGGCTTGATGCATTTCTGAGGGCAGGGAATGTATTTTATAAAATACTTACAGAATGCAATCCCTCAAAAGTATCTGCGCCATATTCGGTCATTATAACAGGTTTATTATGCATTTCATGCCACAATGTAGCTTCATCTTCTACATGTTTGGTTATCATATCCAAATTACCAGTGTTTTGGTACCATGCATTATACCTATTGAAACTCACAATATCCAAATATTGCCCCTGTTTATAAATTCATATGTATGTACGCATGTACGTTTGAATAAACATTCAATTTTACTTATGCAGATATTCAATACACATATATATTTACCAGCTTATCTTTTTTGGCTTCCACGTTTAAAGCAGCAGTGATAGGTCGTGAAGGATCCAACGACTTCGTATAGTTTGATAGAATTCTAAAAAATATTGGATGCTCAAGAACATTAACTGTGAAAATTTAAGTTCGGGGTTAAATACTTAAAGTAATTATCAGCCTGGGAATGAGAGGAGCGGGGTTCGTTTGCTATGGACCACATAACTACGCTTGCATGGTTGCGATCGCGGTGTATTAATTGTTCCAGGGAGGATTTATGATTTCGTAACAGCAACTGATCGAAAATGCTGAAAAGTTTGTACTGTTAGAATCTCGAACGTACTAGTATTGTATTGTATTGTAGATTGTATTTATGGGTCAACCAGCCACGGACGGAGCGCCCTTCCGTACTTGCTGTCCGTATCCACATCAAATTGCTGTTGATAGAGAGAGAGAAAAGCAACGCCAACGTCATCGGCATGCCGTGCTCAGTTTTCGTTAACATGAAAATCTCATAAGTTAGGTTGTTGTTGTTGTAGCGGCTACAACAACCCCGCCCAGTTGTAGGTCGTGTCGGTGGCTGGTTGAGCTCTTATTAGGGACAATAATATTTTACTCTGCATTTACGCCCGAACACTCATTTATGATCATAAAGCCATGTTCATCTGCGAACTGCATAGATTCTTCTGAATACGGATAATGAGAAGTACGGTATGCGTTAGCTCCAATCCATTTTAGTAAATTGAAATCACGAATCATAAGTGCAAAGTCAAGCCCCTTCCCTCGAATCTAAACAGAAAAAGAGAAAATTCATGCAAAAAGAAAATCCGAATTAATATATCTCACATCTGAGTCCTCATGTCGTCCAAAACCACGCAAATATATGGGGGCATCATTTAAAAGCAAAGTAGAATTATTCCATTTTAATGTACGGATCCCAATTTTCATACGATATACATCCAGCAATGAATCGTCCACAGCGTGTAAGTATATTTCTATGGTGTATAAATAGCCATGCTCGGGATTCATTAGGTAAGGCCACCATGGCATAACATCCTTTACGATCATCGACCCATTAAAGGCGTTTTTGGATACACTATGAGCTACTATTTTTCCTTCTTTGTTGCGCAACTGCGCATGAATATAAAGAGGATCAATAGGTGGATCATAAATTACAGTCTTTTTGTCGTTACCATTCACTCCCACTTCATAATGCACAATACCTGACCAAAACCTCTCAGTTTTTATTTGAACAAAAGCTATAAATACATATGTAACTGCTTACCGACATGGTTTTGGGTCAAATCGGTTGAGACTTTGATTTCCTCAATGTAAACGGACGGTGTGGTATATAAATGAACTGTTCGATGAATTCCTGCATAATTGAAGAAATCAAAGGTGTACTGCTGAACTATTACCTTTCCGTAATCACTAAGGATAAGTTATCTTTATTTATATTTGCAACAAAAAAAGCAGATTCAGCAAATACTTCTCCTCTTCGACTATTGTTCCTTGTGGTATCGTGGAATTCAAAAGTGTGTTGTCGCATAAAACCGTTAATCTATTTTCAGAAGCAAACTTCAGTACACCTGTTATTTCCGCCTCAAAGGGTAAGTGTCCAATTGCATGTGACATAACTTTTTGCCCGTTAACCCACTAAGAGAATAAAGATGTATTAGAAAATCCGAGATATATGTACATATGTATGTATACAAATCGTTCTTGTACTAAACGACTGTGATAACTGGAAAAACCAAATTTTATTGGCTTCATATTGTGACAATTTGCATATGTTTTTTGAAAATAGAAAGATCAACCGCGTCCGTTTTTTAGTTATGACAGGCTTGTAGTAAATGAACGATATACATATGTATATGAACATATGTATATCGTACAAGTTCTTCAAAAGCGTATTATCTCAAAATTATCCATTATTCAGATAACGAAAAATACTTTAAAAGCGCCCTTTACCTTAAGTTTTTTGCACAATAAATTGTCAGTTTTTATATATTAAAAATTACAATTTTTTAATGCACTTTTGATGAACGTGTACGATATGTACATATTAGAGGGCTGCGCAAATGGTTTTACTTTTATTGTATACTATTGCACACTTCAGTAAATGCAGCAATGAAGAAAATGCACTTGACAATAAATGAAGTGAAACTCAATGCTTGCTCGCAATCAAACTAAAACTGTAGTGTCGCTGCTGGATATCGTTACTTGTTTGCTTACTGCAAATAGTGATTTACACACACGCGTTCCCGCGGCAGTCGAGTCTACGTAACCGGAACGACCCAGATTTATTTATGTATGTGCATATATCTGGTCAAGGACTGTCACTCCAGCTGCACTCCCCAAAAACCATTTGGAGAATTTGTATGCTGCTACAAAAACAACAAAACTTACACTAATTCAGAAAAATAATGGAGCAGTACAGCGAGAGCGGTAAAACAATTGGGAGTGCAATAAACGGCAGCAGTTTACATGTTCAATATTAGTCATTTTGTGTTAGTATCGTGCGTGATACAAGTATCAAATATTATTTTAATAAAAAACACACATACATATATAGTTTTTTTAATCTTATAATCTGCCATCTTCTCTATCAAAGAATCCAAAGTTAAGAATAATTGGGGTAAGTTGCTGCTAAGTTTAGGTAACATACACACTTTGCAATTATGCATAGATAGCATTTTACTACACGCGCTGCATAACTCTAGAGTAGTGCTTGATGTTTTATTACAGTAATATTTTGTTGAAGCAAATTTTGATTCACTATTTGCAGTAGTCCGTCTTTCACAGTATTTGAAAGCTCTGAGGAAGCGAAATGTTTTGATATAAAAGCTTTTATGCAGCCCTCTAGTAAATATGCGTACACACTTATTGCCAGATATGCATACTTAGCGTTGCATGAGAGTTGTCACATAAGAATCTATACAATTCTGTTGGGTTTTGATTTTTACGTAAACATGGTATAGCAGCGCAAGTATGCATAACTGGGCTATTTATTACCTTAGTATGGAAAGGCCCTAACTCATTTTCTTTTTCAATTCACCTCTGCACAATAGTCGGTAGACTACCCATTAAAGGCTTAATCGAATTTAAAATCAACTACAACATCAAACAAATAGTTTATATGCTTATTAAAAAACAGTATAATGAAGAAAATCGCCACTGAAGAACTTTAGTTTGTATAAAGTAAACAAACAAAAATGTTAGCTAGGGCCTTTCTATATTAAGGTAATTTATGTATCGTCGCCTGGGTAAAAGATTGTCGTATGTTAATTTCGGCAGGTTGTGGGAAATCGCGATTGAAGTTTGGAATACAATTTCTCAAAAACGCGAGAATAGAATTTCTGCAAGTGTTACTAGTTATGAAGGATTTTATTTAGTAAAATTTTGTCGAAAGCGTCATTTGTCCACAATTTGGCAGCCACATTGTATGAAATACGACAAAATGTGATCAACATTTCTACAAAATTAACAACATTTTATACTCAAAATCTCGAAAACTAAAGGAGATATCCGAAAATAAAGAGAACGCCATTTTTAAGACATTGATTAGTTTAATATGACTGCATCACTAACTAAATTTTTACTAATTTATCGAAAAAATTTTAGGCTATATCCCGGAAAGTAAAGGAGATATCTAAAAACAGATAACACCAATCGAAAGACCTTATTTCAAAATATATAACTGCATCTATAACTAAAAATCGTCAAAATTGCGCTTACGACAATCTTTTACCCAGGCGACGGTATGTAGATGCGCAGATTTTATTTGCATATACATATCTTTGTTCGTATGGAAAAGTAGCCTATGACGAAAGGCTGGCTTTAGTATAAATCGACATTTGCAGCATACGAATGCGAATGACTCACTGGCGCTGAGCCGTTGAAGAACTTTTTAAAGAATAAAAGGAATGCTGCATTATACTAAAGCCAGCCTTTCGACATAAGCTACTTTTCCATACGAACACAGATATGTATACTCATAACACTACATGAAAGTCGTACTTACAACTATGGCAGCGTAGTGAACGCTACCAAAACGTAACCAAATGCGTTGATCAGTGTTCCACGAGTGAGGAACAAAAAACTTTTTTTCGTACCATACTGTTCCAATGTGATCACGCAAATCACTATCTGGACTTATATCATTGTAACTCGAGGGCACTGGCATTGGAAGCGTTGGTTTTACCTTGAAACATAATGAAAGTGTAAAATCGATTTTGAAAGTTCAAGCCTAAAATACCTTATCCAAATCATCTTTGTACCAACCATTACGTACCCCCTCCATGGGATTGTTAACGTCTGACCTCAAAAATCGCCAAATGCCATCAAGCGTGCGTACTTCACGCGACTCAGACTCCCGTGGGTAAAGCAAACCACGAGTTGCTGTTTCATCCTTCAACCGCATGTAATCAAATAGTTCAGCGTTTGTATTAGTTGTTCCTAATTTCGAAATATTGGGCGGCTGTTCTGAAACACCTGTCACAAGACCAGTGCTCCAATATATAGCAAGTATAATACTATGGAATGAGATTTTATTTGCAATAATCATATTTGTCCTCGCTAATATAATCCGCATACGTCCACCGAATTGTAATAATTTATTGATTTCTAAATATTTAAAATATTTTAATTGCACTTGATCCAAAAGCCATATATCTCATAACAAAATACTTTGTTTGATGATTTAGGTCCTAAATTTTAGGTTTTTGACAAAAATACGTCTAATGTAAACAAACCGCAGCTGACTAGGAATGACACAATAGAAGTGCAAAAAAATCGATTTTGACGTCGATACATCGATTTTTTTATTTTTTGGCACATCGATGCTGTGCGGGGAAATCGAATAAAACTCAATCGCTACTTATAAGTTAATAATTAATACGTTGTATTTTGTTTCAAAAACTATTCATAGTTAATTTAACTACTTTTTTGAAAATAACTGTTTGAAATATATTTTGAAAGGAACATATGAAATATTCGTTTTCAAAAGGTATTTAAGCAATAGAAAATTTTGTAGAAATTCAGTTTTTGTTCAACTTTGAAATTGGAAACTCTAAAATAAAAAGTAAAAAAAACTTTACTTGTAATATAAATGTATTTTTATAAATTAAAGAAAATATTTTCCATGTAGGAAACATATTTTTCTAATTTATATAAGTGCGGTGCGTAGTAAGAGCCATTACACCATGAGTGTGTAGATCGTGCGCCATGGATGAAAATTATCAGACGAATTCTGAATATTGCCAGGGAGTTCGTTCTTGGGGAATTTGCTTCTCCGGAGAAAGAAATCCTCCAATAATTAATTCCCAAAGAGTCGCATTTTCACCGAAAATTTGGGAGGAGAAAATTCGATCTTCGCAAGAGCTTTTTGTCACTTTTTTGACAGCTCAACTTCGCCATTCAATATAAAAAATCCTCAGGGAATTTTTATTCATGATATGAGGAAAGGGAAAAAAGAGAAAACTCTGTTCAGAATCGGTCTGTATATTAAGGCGATTCCCTTAAATCGTCAAGTCTTAAATTCTGTAAAATTCGTAAGTTTACGACGCTTTTGTGGGAACGTCTAATTTGTGAATAGGTGTAAATGGCTGTGTGACTGTTTGACAGATCAGCCAGGATTTTTTGAAGCAATTTTTATTTTGTAATATATTCCATAACATCCCGCCATCTTGTCTCTATCACTCTTGGCTAAAATACAACTAAAAATTCCGAAAATTAGGTTCTTTCCCGTACCGGATCCGGTAATTAGAGAATAAGCGAAAAGTTTGCTCTCAAAAATGGAACATAATCCAGAAGTACGGGAACGCAAAAAACCACATTTCGTGCCCAGAATTCGAGAAACAACTTATTCGCGTTGTTTTTGTTTTTGTCACTTAAATGCACACTTGGAAATTAAATTTTTGATTTCTGGGCTATTTTGGGCACCCGCGGGATCCGCGTTGCGTACGGGAAAGAACTTCATTAAGATGAACTAGTTCTTGAGTTTATTTAAACCCTGTTCGCGTACGCACTATCCAGTAAATCCAGTACTAATTTTAGTGGTTTTTACTGGATGTCGTTTTCGTACGGAAAAATTTGGAAGAAACTAGCAAAAGAGGGGAAATTGAGAGAGCAAAAATGACAGCTGAACTTGCAAGTTTTACTGGATTTTTACTGGATAAATTTTTACTAGCAACTATTTGCTAGTAAGAAAAACAGCTGATGGCATGATGCTTATTGTAAATCACATTAAGAAAATAATTGTTTACGGTGCTTTTAGAGTTGCAAATGACAAAATAAACCTATTTAAATATATAGTAAGATGGAAAGCACTAGTTTTCTAAGAAAATTGCATCGGAAAATAACAAATTAATTAGCTGTTCATAAAACTAGCAACTTCTTGCTGGTTTTGCGTTTTCTTACTTTCTTGCATATTTCACTCATTGGGAGTAAATATTCGCTTACTCTCCGAAATTTCTTTACTGGCAAGTTACTGGATATTTTTTGCTGGAGAATACGAAAACACAACTTTAGTTCAAGAAATACCCAAGCCTTGTATTTAGCATTAGAGCAAAAACAACATGTACTTGTATTTTGTTGCTTCTCTGGACTCTAAAGTGTCAAAAAAAATATTAAGCCATGTGAAATATAAACGGAAATGAAGCCGAATTCATACAAGTTGGTGTTCCTAGAATACGGAACTTCTTATATGTGAGTGACAAAGTGAGGGTGTTGGAATTTTCTTTCACTCTTCCGAAGAATACCTGAAATTTTGACATTTCTTTACAGAAAGCAAAAGCAAAATACATTCAAGTTTTTGTTTTTGTACTACCACCACCACCTTATATGAATTCGCCTCGAAGAAAAATGGCAAAAATTGCTAAATTTGTTTGCTTCCAAAGCAGTGCTCCATCCCATGATCCAACTACACAAGATCTGACAAGTTGAAGCAAAAGAAAAAAGTAATTTTCTGGCTAACGTTTGTAATTTCGGTGCCATGTTATTTTCTGTGAAAAGTAAACAAAGAATATGAAGGCGAAGCATAAAGAAAAAAATGCAGGCAATGTTGTAGCACATGTTTGTGCTAACCAATTTATTATTTTTGCACGTGTTTTTACATCCAATCACCGCGCACTTAATTTTAATTACATTTGCACAAAAAAATTTATTGAAAATCGCTTAAAAATCACTGAAATAAACCACCGACAAAATACACATAAAGAAAGAAGCAAACCAGAAACAGCAAACTTCAAAATACGAACGTCACACCCTTTTTTCTCAATTGCTATTACAAATGGCTGCTTCTTAACCGGTCAGATCTGTTCTAATTGGTTCATGGCTCCATCCCGTGTAAGTAGTGTTGCCGTTGTGCGACTAAAGGGAAAATTTTACCCTTTTATAGCGCCTATACCCTTTGACACGACTTTTGGAAAATTTTGATTTTTTGACCCATTTCCAAAATTATGTGCGACTTTTGCCCCTTTTCAGAGATATTTTTAAAAAATGTTAACAGAACCATGCTATTAAAAAAAATTTCCTCTTGCAAGTACGAAAAAATGCATCACTTAAAACTTTTAAAGTAATTGCAACTTTTTCCTTGCAGCAACTAGATTTATGTTTATGCTTTCAACCCTGTTTTGTGCAAAGCTTGTCCCGCTATTTTCTTTTCCAATTCAACGGATTTATTCTTTTACTAGCCCTTTATTGCGACTTTCTGAAAATTCTCAACGGCAACACTGCTTGTATGGCTTAGTAATCAGCGTTTGTGCTCCTAAGATAAGCCAACGAGCCAAAATATGGGTTTAAATCGCTGTTTTACTTTTTACTTTTTGACAATTTATTTTTTGGAAAAAATGAAAAAAAAATTATTTTACATTTTAAAAAAATACTTGACATTTTAAAGACCAAATCCTCATCATGTTGGTCCCCTTGTCGTGGGGATGAGGCTTAAGTGGTGGTTTAAATCTTCCTTCGGGGGGCTTTAAGCCAGCACTAACCAAGCGGGAAGCTCCGTGTGGAGCTTGGTTGACCACCCATCTGCGTAACTGCGGGTGCCGTGTTCCTCCAATCATACACACGGAGAGGACCATACCGACGATTCCCCCATGCTCGTCCTACCTACTAACCCTTCTCTACCATCTCGCCCTACCCTTCCACCCAAAAAAATTAGACCCACCCATTCAGGAAGTTCTGAACTGTCCTCGGACAAGACCAAGCAAGCCAGGGGTGCAAAGCCTGTGGCCAAGCCCTCTCTGGAACGATGCCTCAACGGCATCGAGAGTCCTTTCCGGCAACCGGTCTAGCTATATCAACAGACAAGCTAGCGAGGATATAAACCTGTCCGGTGCTGATAGCAGACCCACCCTCGCAGATAGGCCTTCGGGAGGCAAGGGCAGCCCTTTCAAAGGACAAGCTGGCCCTGCTGCCGTCCCCGCCACTCCAGGAGGCAAGGGAGCACCAACAGGTGCAACCCCTAAAGCGGCGTCGGCGACATCAGACCGCATGGCAATGCAGCAACGGGCAGCTTCCTTCTGTTCTCTATTGGCACTTCGATCTTCCCCACCTTCCAATTGTATGTCGGCAGGTCCTTATTGCAGGATCTTAAGTTCCGCTCTATTTTTTCAGGCTCGGCCGGTCTAGCTGGGATCCAAACCCGAGCCCTAGGTCTGCTAGGAATCTCTTCCTTGCTGACTGCCTCGAGTTTGGCTCCCGGCCAAACCTCACCTACCTTGCTGACGGCCAACCTGTAGAGCTGGGCTGACCTATGGTTCTCGCAAGCGATGAGCTTTGCCCTACCTTGATACCAACCAGAATCATGGCAGAGAGGAGGGGGTCCAGGGTTTTCCTCTAAGACCTGGAGTAGAATAGCCTGCCCAACCTGCCTCCATTTCTCCTTCGGGATAGTCCCTTCCTCCCCCCCTCTGTCAATGATGGCCAGTACCTCACCGCCTCCGTTAACAACATCCCTGAAGGAGGGGTATTTATGGCCACCTGTTCTCTGTCGTTTGGTGACCCCCCTGCCTGTTCAGCAGATCGTTGCCTCTTTGGAGCAGTGCCTGCCGGTTTACCCAAGCTGGCTACCACTCTCCTTGCCCAGTCCAACGACTTAAGTTCGTCCTCCGTCAGCTGTTCTGTCGGCAGGTCCATTAGCCTATTTACGACCCTAATGGCCGCCTTTTTATCGTAGTACGCCTGCTTCGAGGGGCGGACATGTTTAGCCGGCCCCACCTGACCTGTAGTTGCAACCTTTTTTGAGCTGCTGGGTATATCAGCAGCATCCTGCCGTTTTAACCTTGAAGCAGGTGCCGCACCCCGCCCGTGGGTTGAGGTGTGCCTATTTTGTTGTCTAAATTCCCTAGGCGGAGCTGACGTCGCAGCTCCAGCCGAGAAACGGTTGGAGACCGGTTTTCCCAGGCCTCCACTCCCCCCTCCTGCCTCCTACGTTACTCGTACTAGGACCAGCCCTGCCGCTAAAGCCCCCTCTACCTCCTATCACTGGCGGTCTGATCAATGTCTTGCCCGAGGCTGTAGCATCAATCGGAGCCACCCCTGTCAGTTTTTTTGGAGGGCCGTCCTCCATGGATTTTTTTGTATCTTTAGAAATTGAACTCATACTTTTGGTCCCACCAGTGTCGGACAATCAAGATCCGCCCGCACAGAGGTCCGTGTGTGCAGGTAAGGCTTGATAGAACCGGAGGTCGCCAGGTATCCGGAGCACTCCCTTCGAGACTGGGCTAGTTTTTAATCTGGGTCCCCAGCCAGGCTGAACATCAGCACGGGTCGTCTAACACCTTG